AAGGCAGTTGCGGTCGTGATGCAAAATGGTAGACGAGTGTATTAAAATAACCCTCGATGAGTGTTAATGGTCAGAAGCTCTTTGCTATTTTCATCTACTTCCACTTGGAGATAGGCATCGGAGAAGTCTATTTTCGCGAAATATGTTCCACCATTAAGCTTGGCAAACAAGTCTTCAGGAACTGGTAACTGATATACATCCAATACAGCATTTAAACCGGTTGAGAAATCGGCACATATGCTCATAATTCCACTGGCCTTTTTAATTAATACGATCGGTGAGGCCCATGCAGAGTAGTTGACTGGTTGGATTACACTAGCTTGTTGCTAGCGATTAAGTTCCTGGTCGACTAGTTCGAGTGCAGAATATGGTACAGGACGTCTCGGACGAAAAACAGGTTTGGCATCTGGCTTCAATGGCAAGTGAGCTTTCATCTTGGTACCGTGGCCAAGGCTATTCTGGAAACAGAGGCAAATTTTCTCTTCGGTTTTTCTAGTGATCTTTCACCTGTCTTTTTTGTAAGTGCCAGGGTGTCCAATGATGAACACGATAGATTGCAGACATTGTTAGTGGGTATATCCATTATACCAGGTTTTTCTAGCATATCTAGACCAAGAAGATCAAGGTTTGGCCGTTCTCTTAGTTAACATATTCCTGTACAGTTAGTTCCATTGAAAGAAAATTCACATTGTAATTTATCAATCAGTTTTAGCACACCATCTGATGCGTTTTTAGCAGTTTTCTCAGATGGCTTGATTGACGGTCTCTCAAGCAAGTCAAACTTTTCTCTAGACACTTGTTAGCGGGACATAGACTAGATTAAAGCATGCTCAATGCATGATTGCTTTGGTGCACGCTGATTGGCTGATTCTTATCCAACCAGCACTAGTCGATAGTCGGAGAATATTCTGGAATCTTCTTATGTAAAAACTATAAATATACCGACGTTTTCCCCTATTGTGCTTCCTACTGGTTTCTGACTTGCTATTTGGAATATAATCTTTTTCCTGTTCAACCGTGTTCTGATTTGGGGACTTATCGAGTGAATCGGTGTCCGAGAATACTAAGCAATAGGAATAGCTGGGTCATTAACCGTAAGAAGAAAGTCAGAGTTATAACAACACTAGTATGACATCGGATGCCGTGTCAATTTGAAGACGAGCTGATATGTAACTTATTATTAGGTTTCCCAGATATTTACTATTTGTAGTCTTTATCAAGCAACAGAGTGACAACAATTAGCTTTGATTTTCAGAGACAGGATATAAGAGTAGTCTTGCACCACACAAGACTAATACGAAAAAATTAGATAGATTATTCTTTATTCTCGACAATTACGCTCATTACATACAATCTCTCTTCAAGCAACGTGATATAAATTACATACCTAAAACAAAACAAAATTATTTGTTGACATTCACTTCTGGTCAATATGAATCACAATTTTGCTTGTGAACACTGGTTTCCTATTACACTATACAACATTTGTCGCACAAAAAAACTATGTACTTGCAAAATAACCTGAAATATCTAGTAGCAGAAATAATTGAGGTTTGTCGGAATTTGATTCACAATTATTGGTTAATATGGTACTCGTCTGCACTCAGTTTTACACATTGTTTTAACCATTAGACTGTCTCATATTGACTTAATTAAAAAAGGTAGATAAACATATCAAATAATAGAAACAACATCTTTGTGCTAAAAACCAACATATCATTTTTCGTTACAGACAAACAACAATAAGAATAATTTATCCAAACAAACTAACGAAAAGTTTCCACTTAATGAATATGGCTAATACCATGTAATTTATCAGTGAACGTGACTAAATATATGAAGCGTTTCTAGTACCCAAGACGTGTCTATCAGGATTTAGGTGTTTACAGGGAGTTTAGTTTCCTGTTTTAAACAAATGTGATTAAAATGCATGATGTGTTTCAACTCTCATTTTTCCTGTAATAGGATGAACGAAAAACAAACACTGAGAGTTTACCTAGATAGTCAGAGAAGTACATGAAGCATAGGATATTTGTTTAATTTCATATGACTTATAGTGCTGAACTAAAAGTACTAGGGTTATACTCCTGTTTTATCAGAGATTCTGTTGAATATATATACATCTATCTTTTTGAAACCCTACCATTCTAAGCAGTCATTAACCGAATACGTTTGCTGTAGATGTAGGAGAGTAAAAGGTTCAACAAGTATTCTGGGGGCTATGTATAATACTCTAGCTGAGAACAAATTCATATTAAAAAATTAAAATAAAGTTTTCTATAACCGTAATATGGTAGTTAGTGTTGAGCAATATACATAGTCAGTTCAGTCATAGTAAAAAAAACGTAGTCATCATTTTTTGTTGAGCACAGTAATGTTTTTCGCGTCTAAACTCTTGAAAGAACTTAAGAGTATGAACTAGTTTAACACAAATGAATTCCCACCTTGCTTAAACATTTGGTTTGGGTTACGAATGACTTGACTGGAAAGTACACGATTCATGTTAGCAAAGTAGGTACGGCCACGTCTTTTAAGACTGAAATTAACATGACAAAAAACTAACTAAAGAAAGTGAACGTAGCGTTATAAAATAATATTTAAAGGAATTGTTAGTTTCACTCGATTCATACGACTTCATGAACCACATAATTAGTTTTGGGAGAGAAAAAGAATGTATAAGGAGAAAAACGTGACCGAATTGCGAAAGTAAAATGGCTTAAAAAGCCAAGAAATTAAACGTCTAAGTTTGATATTCACGTAGAAACTTTAATCTTGCAAAAACTCCTTAAATATGTGGAAACTACTTAAAGAGCTTACAAGTGAGAGACATTAGTGATGATGGCCGGCTGAATGTTTGTGACGTAAATTAGTCTTTTTGCGCTCATTATCTGATGTTATGTTTCTAAAATCTACAAGTTTGAAGAGGTGTTGTGTTTCAATTTGTATTGAAACTGATTGAAAATATCTCGTCACTCAATTCTCCTGAATATTTAGGACCTGGTAAAATCTTAAATCTTTTGGAATATGCTAACGTTTTGTGTTGTTCATTCACGAGCATTTTTAACAAGTCTTTCTAGACGAATTCCATACTAGAAATCTGGAAAAAGATAATCCAATTAACAAAGAAAGTGTCTGGTGACAAAAATGCAAAATTTGGACCGACAGCAATTGGCTAACTTTTTCTCAAAACAACAGAAAAACTATTTCTACGCCTATCTCAGCCTACATTAAAAGAGTAAATCAACACATAACAGTTTGCATGCAAATACAAAAGAAGTACCATGGATGCTGCTGTCGTTCTGCATCATAATACAGTGTCCAACATAGAAAAGTTAGAAGCATTTTCGACGCGCATTTCTAGACTATACGTTTACCTCTGACTCTATTCCAATACCACTACTGCTAAACAAGTTTGCCAGTGTCTTTCGACAGCTGGATAACCAACTGGTTGTATTTCTACCTCTGTGGAAGAGAACAATATACTGTGCTTGGATGAAAGTATTTTACATATTTACTAAGAAGGTGAACCATAAGCTGTTTGTTTTTCTTTTCTCATTTTTCCACGAAATTTCATGTAAAACAGTTTGGTTAAGTATGCAGGTAATCTAACTATATATATATATATATATATATATATATATATATATATATATATATATATATATATATATATATATATATATAGTCTGTTTACATCCCATTGAAATGAGTGAGTTCTTGGTGTTCAATGAACGACCACCTACCACACACAAGCTAGTCGTTTGGTAGAACGATCCTACCGACGGTTAACAACCTTTTGATACTTTTTCACTCTTTTTACTCGGAATCATTAGTGCAATGAAAACCAACGTTGGATCTCATGTAGCTGAGCTTCTTTACAATAACTCCGACTCGCGAGAGAACTCGTAGATCTTTCATTTTCTTCACTGAATATGGAGATACACTTCCCTCATGAACCGAAATACGAATGCTGTAGTCTTAGTAAAGCCTCCACTTAACCGACCACGATGAACCTGATATAGTAAATACGTTTCTGTACAGTGAGATTCAACACGCCGACCTGTTGATGTGGCTCATTACAGATCATGTAAGGCTTGGAATCGTGGATTAAATCACAATACCACTGACACGAACGTGATGCGAGACAACGTCAGCATTGACTGAGTGGAGGAAGCTTACTTAGAAGAGAACTTAGTAGAGATTCTCACTACACTAGACAACACCAGCAGTGCAAAAATCACAGCACAACTAACAATCAGTGACCACGAGAGGGCTGCAACCGTTTGAATCTGGTGGGCAAAATAGGAGTTTAGGTTGAGGTCATTTAAGCGCTGCTAAAAGATCACCTATTTACTAGTCTTACCCTCGGGACATTTGGAGAATTTCCGAGACGTCCCATCGAACCTTTGAGGAAATGTGACAAGTGATTTTAAAAGTTTTACTGGTTTGTACCAAGAATATCCATTGGATAAGGGGAGGAGGGAACCGACAAATACGGCGAGACTATAATTTATGGCCGAACGAATCACGTATAAGATAACAGGTCTCGGATTTTGGAGCGAAAATCACTCATTCATTTGAATCGTTTTCGCACTATAGCTGATTTCAGTTCGTGATGAAAACCCTAAGTCTAGTTTATAGTCTGTTAACCATAATTCTAATTCTTTACACAGGTTTGTAACCTTCATTTAGTTCTGGTCATTAGGTCGACAGTTCCAAGGTTCGTCTAGCGTCGCCCAAAGGTCGTCAACAAATTGTAGTCTCTCCACAAAAACCCTACGATAACTAGGGCAAGTATCCATAGAATTTGGGTGAACTTAGTGTTCGGTCACTACCAAATGATTGTTTCGTATTAATAACATTGTGAAAAATGTCGATTAAGAATCTGTCAAATGAGAAGCCATAGCTGTGATACGAAGTTCAGTGTATATGAAAATCTGATAGGGCACATAAAGGAGGTAGAAAATTGGTAATTCAGTGAAGTGATAGGATCCACTTACATTTAGCGGCGAAATCTGCAAACAACAACGAGACACGTGACTTCAAATTTACGAGCGCTCCGACAAGGTCATGACAACATTTAATGGCGGGTAAAAAGAAATATAATCCATGTAGCTGAGCAATTTATTTATTACTTTCTTAACATACATTACTGCTTGCTCAATCTGTGTGACTTCGTGCGGTTCAAAATTTTATTTGACTCTTGTTGGGTCCTGTTGCTTTCTCAATTTTGATTGCCTGATGGTCGGCCATCCTTATTTTCTCGATCGTTATTTAAGTGACATATATAGGAAGGTTTGTATGTGCTGCTTCGATGCTCGGTGGATTCAGTGAAGCTGGCCTATTCAAAACTCCCTCAAAGTGTTATACCCATTTGTTTCTCTGTTCTTGAATCTTAGTGATTGACTTGAATTATTTGTCTTTGACCAGCCTCTCTGGTCTACTATATTTCCCTGTCAGTTTCCCAATTGTGTTTCGTAGTTGTTTCATATCTCCTTCTCTTGCGGCTTTATTCGCTGTCGTCGCTAGGTCTCCCACGTAGTTCCGTTTATCGGCTCTAGTGCTCCTGTTCACTTGCTTGTTTGCTTCTGTGTACTCAGCTTGTGCTTTGACTTTCTCTGCTCGTGTTAGGCTGTTGTTAATTGCTCTCTTCTTGTTCTTCCTTCCTTAATCTTGTCAGGGGCTTCAATAGAGATCCATTCCTTATGATGATGCTTCTTTTGTTCCAGAACCTCCTGACGCGTTGAAGTAAATGCATTTTTGACCCCTTTCGAATTTTTCTTCACAGTAGTTTCCTCTTCTTCGAGTAGATCTTGTAAGTATTGGAACCTGTCGTTGAGAGCTGTCATGTGTCCGAACAATGATTCAGCATAGGAGACATTATTAGGTTCAAATGCTTTTGGACAGAATAGAAGAGGAGTTCGCTTGAAGGTCTTCTGTATATACTTACAATGGGTCACCAATGCCTCAAGGCGAGAACCTAGGTATATTAACGGTAAAAAACGAAAAAATGGCAAACCATAGTAAGATATTATCCTTGGTCTTTAAAAATAGGTCAAGTTTCCTCTTAAAGGACGCATGGAAAGTCTCTTGAACTGACTCATCCGTCAGCGAATTCCAGCACTTGACTACTCTTAAGGAGTAGAAGTTATGTCTACCATTTTTTCTGCTGTGTTGTGTCTCCTTAGGTTTGTCTTGGAGCTAAACTTATGTAGATGTTTAAGGGGATGTCCAGAAGTGTTAAGGATACTGCAAGCCACTAGAAGGTCACCTCTAAAATGCCTATACTCTAATGGGTATATGTTTAGCGATTGGAGGTGCTCTTCAGAAGGTTTGAATTTGAGTCCTCGAAATGATTTCGTGGCTCATCGTTGGATACGCTCAGGAGTGTCACTATCCTTTTGGCGTGAGGGAGGGAGTACTATGTTTCCGTATCTAAATGAGGCCGAATAAAACTTTTGAAGATTATATGTAAAGTTCTTCTGTCAAACTGGCCAAAAATGCCCTTCAATGTTACCAGTGCAAAGTTTGTTTGAAAGGCACTTTTGTCACAGTTAGCGTAAGACTTAGCCTGAGAGAAAGTGAAGTTAAACCTAACCTTAAAATGTCAATTTTTTAGATATGCAATAAGCCAGTCAATTAGAGGTGATTTAGTACCCAATCGTTTGAGCTTGTTGACCTTATCAAAAGCTTCTGAGAAGTCAAGGCAAATGACGTCAACCTTCCACTTGCCATTAAAGATGGTTGTCCATCTGTCCACTACAGTCAGCAGGTTGGTTATAAAAGAGTGACTGTAACGACCGAACAGCCAATATTCGGTTGGAACAACGGACTGACGAACCCAAAATTTATTCGATTAGACCAGACCAAGTTCCTCTGTATAGCTCACAACGCGTCTTTGAGATACTCGTATTATATTATATCAAAACACAAACTCTGTGCTCAATATAAACGTTTCTAATTAAGAAAACAGAACAAATTACATCAAAAATACAAAATACCTCAAACGGTACAGCCTGTGCTATACAGTCAGAAGTTTCTCTAACGCAAAGTAGCGCGCTAAACAATGAAAGAGACAGTTAATACTAAAGGGTTTGATACCTGAGAATCAATACAAATATTCCCAATAAGATGGGATCAAATATCTATCTGCAGGGATTGCAGCAATTCTCCCAAGCAGACAGTCAGAAGGTTAACAATCACAAACTGAACCACGCCGTGACCTTGAGCTTAGTCAAACACAACCTTACTGTCAATGGTCCGGCAACATGCAATAGAAAATTAGGTAACAAAAATAAGTCTTTAATCAAAATCACATAATAAAGGCTCAAACGGGGAAGACTGAAGAATCAAAGACATGGTTAAACGAGATCGAAACAAAGGTTGGAATACACAAAAGGGAGAAGGAACAAATAAATGAAAATACTGTTCAACAAAGAAGCTGCAAAGGGATTTTCACTGTTCTCTTTCCGTTACAGTGACTCTTGCTAAAACCGTGAAGTTGGGGTGAAAGGAAGTTCAGGAATGATAAATAGTCGTGTAAATCATCGTATATCAAGGACTCCATAATTTTTGAAGATATAGAGAGAAGAGCCACTGGTCGGTAGCTTGAAGGTTCTCTGCATCGACCTCCTTTGGAAATTGGTGTGGTGTGAGCCAGCTTCAGTGTGAAAACACCACGATAAGCGGTGTTGCCTGGACTGAAGCTGCTTCCCTCAGCATAGCAGAATAAATCATATCTGGACCAGAAGAAGTGTCTTTTCTTAGGTGCTGCATTTTGCGGTACACCAAGTCAACGTTCAGGTTCACTTAGGAAAGTCCTGTGCAGTTGCAGATGAAGCTTTCATCATATAGTTAATGTGGGTTGGTTGAAATGTCCGAGAGTATCGTTCAGCCAAAAGGTTATTGGTCGGGTCATTAGGACCTAGCAGTTTGGAAACTCCAGTTTTGGCTTGTCTAAGAGAGAGTGCATAAGGGAATGAGCTTTTATGATTGGAGGCAAATTTATCTATAAGCTTTATCTGATACTAAAGCTTGTAATCTCTTATTGCCTTTGTGCATATGTTCTCAGTGATTGTATCGCTTGTATGAGCTGTTGTTACCAGTTCGTTCGTATTCCACACAGCAGTGTCTTATATGGCTTAGCAAACGAAGAGTGGGGTTCGTGATGACTGTACTTTACTTGTTGGCCTTGGCGAGCATTTTAGAAGCAGACTGCCTTGTTGCACATAAGAGTGTGTACAGTCAGAAATCCCAATGAGCATCCACATCAAGTTGAGGGTAAACTTCTCAATCCACCTGCTGTAGATTGTCGTGTAAAGCTGATACACTCAACCTTTTGAAATTCCAGCGCCTGTTGTTGGTAGGATGTCTTAGCCCAGTTTTGCTGATAAAACTAAAGGCCGTGACGGTGTGATCACTCTTCCCTAGGGAAACCAGCATTGATTGGTTGTCAATTAAGAATTCTTCGTTTGTAAATACCCAGTCTAAGAGCCACGGCATCTTACTGTTTCCCCAAGAAGTTACCGACTTCACATTTTCGAATAATCACTGATCCTCAGTGAGGTTAAAGAACCGAGCCTCAGTAGGTTTTTCGCCTCAAATATGAGTTCCAATATGTTCCGCGGAAAATGACTTTAGGAAGATTGAAGTCACCTAGAATCAGGATATGAGCGAATCGGAGATGAGTAGAGCGGGATTGTCCTTCCAGCATACGATTGTCGTCTTCGATGTTAGCAATGGGCGGTGGTAGACAGTCTTACTAAGCACCATGAGGATTCATCAAAATTGATGAAGTCTTGGTTGTGCACTTGATGTTCTTCAAAGCAAGATCGCAGGCATAAGGCTACTCCCCCTCCCATTACTGTTTTTCTGTCTTCGACAAACAAAGACATCCCGGGTGTTGTTAGCTCATAGTCCGTAAGTTGAGAAGATATCAATGTTTCAGATATTCCTATCAGTTGAGGATTGTTAGCATTGCTGAGTTCACGCAGCTCGTCCATTTTATCCAGTAAACCCGCGGCGTTCACTCATAATCAGTTTATGCCTTCAGTTCGAAACGCGTGAGCTTCTCCGTCCTGTTTATCTGTATAAGCCTTGTGTGAATGGACAAGCAACCTATCTACACAGCGTTTTCTGAGTTGATAGCCCCTGCTCTTTCTACATTTTCCCACGAAGTCTGGGTTCGGGATTATTCTGTATGCTCTCAGAAAATCCTGAATGACCTCGTTCATTGTGCCCTCCCCTTGTGACTGGAGAGAACCGCCTCGAAGTCATCGATAAGACGCTCAGGTTGGCGGTTTGACTGTGGATGGTGGACGGTGGCCGAGTATGAGTAATTGCGTTATTTGGACAGAAACTCAAGATTTCCAATGTGAACTGAGGTCCACTCTCTGTAACTTGTGTTTCCGGAAAAACAAATGTAACGAGTGGACACTCAGGTGGGGACAACCAAAGTTACGGAGTTCTTTCGTAAAATGTGCAAACCATATGCTCAATACTTCATTTGCAAATCCTCCAATAATTGTCTTAAACGTAATCGTTCCTGCATCAATAACACGAGTACTTTCTCCTCCCGTCCTCTTCGATTTGATCTTCACAACCTTTTGCTGCCAGACATACCACTTCTGACTGGTGTCACATAATACTAACGTCTGTCGACATAAGTGGCAGTTGTTCTGCGCACCATGCCACTTCCTTTGTTGCAGTCTGTACCACGCTCCCCGTCAAAATGCTTGGCTCACCCACGTGCTGACGTCTGTAGCAATGTGGACCAGCCGTGCCATTAACATACGATGTCCTCACAGAAGCCACGCGTTCCACTGCCTCGCTCCACTGACTTCAACTACTGCAGCCAAGCCACCTTTCCAGAACACCATACTCGACGTTATTCTTTTGCGCCGGGCCGCCTTAAATAGTGCCTCTTCTCCTGGCCCACAAAGACGTCAGCAAAACCACATTTCCTCCTCCTGGTTGGCTTCAATGCCTGTACCTCTTCCAGGGTTACTGCCGGTCC